ACTACAAAACTTGGTGTCAAGGGGCAAGACTACAAATTTTCAGACTTACTCTGTTACAGTGAGAAACAAAATAGTGCTGTTTTTATTTCTGTCTTCATGTCAGAGGTGTATATGGCAAGAAAGGACAGGGTTCATTTCTAGAGGTTTGGTAACAGAATGAAATGCTTGGCCACTCTGACTCCATCTTGTTCAAGCCTGTTTTGTTGCTATGGCACAGGTTAATAGCTTCTGCTTAGTTGTGCATATAGATATGCTAATCATTAGAGGAATTCTGCTTGGGGCTTGAGCTTTATCAAAATAGCCCCTTATCAGAAACTGTCTCTCCCAAGGAGACAAGAGAAGTATGTACAAAAATGATGACCGTTTATCAAAGATTTGCAGATTTATATTCTGATATGTGTTATCTATTTTATTAATAATACATGTAAAATATCAAATGCTTAACAAAGCCCTTAATTTAATTACATCTGCACAATCCCCTTTGCCATGTAAGGTAACATCTTCATAGGCTCCTAACATTAGGAGATGGACATATATGTAGTTTTTTGTTTTATATTTGATTTTTTCATACTTATGTCCAATATCCAAAAACAACTTGTATTAACTCTCAGATGTAGTATTTGAATTGTGGTTTCTGTCTCATTGCATCAAGTGCTTCCTGTTCGAAGAACCTTTGTTCCATTTTCCAAGACGGCGTCAAGACGTATTTTTTTTTTCTCAGAAGCCTTCCTTTGAGAAAAAATTTCATTGTGAAGTAATATTGGTTCAGACTCCGTATTATCTATTTTACTTTAATTTATTCTCTATAGATGTAGACTCAGAGGTTCAGAATTCTTCAGGGATGAGGTGCCAATTAACTCAAATGTGTACAAAATATACGTATTTCATATTGTGCAGATGTAAGAGTCAGAAAAAGGCAAGAAATTATTTAATATGTATTGGTAGACTCTAAGGAAATCAGGACTAAGGTCACTCATCTTTATCAGAATAAAAACAGAATTCATGATTCTTTAAGAACACCACATTGGCGAGACTCATTTCTTCTTGTCTGAGGCCAGAAGTCCACAAAATTTGAAGTAATTAAAAGAGGTAAGGCAAGAAATTATTTAATATGTGTTGGTAGACTCTAAGGAAATCAGGACTAAGGTCACTCATCTTTATCAGAATAAAAACAGAATTCATGATTCTTTAAAAACACCACATTGGAGACACTCATTTCTTCTTGTCTTGAGGCCAGAAGTCCACAAAATTTGAAGTAACTAAAAGAGGTAATTCAGGGATTTTATCAAAGTAGTGACTGTGCTCAACTTTGGATTAGCCGAACTCATAAAATTAGATAGTTATTATTACATGGCCAAATTTAGTTTTTTAAACATTTCAAATAGAATATCTTGGCTCAAATATTCTTGTGCATGCTTCAGATAAACAGAA